TAATTAATTATGATTTATTGTTTACCTACAAAAGATTCAATTTTCAAACATTTTATTGTATTTTTTTCTGTTATGTAACATCTAACTATTTTTAAAAACTATGACATAAATTCCTCTTCAGATTATAATAATTTATTAATGTATTGTGAATAGAATTAATTAAAAACTTGGAACATCTTTTCGAAGACTATATTGCAAAACAAAAAAGTCTTTCCCTTAGTGATTAGGTGATTTACAGCATGTTCTATATTTTTTATTAATGTTTCGCTTTAGATTGAGTTACTCAGTTTACAATGTCTTGAATGCCAACTGCCTTTCAATTGAATCGACCTTCGTCAGATATTGACCTAATAGTAAAGACTGTAATCAAGTTCATTGCAAATTAGTAAGGTAAATCTACCTCCTTCATAATACAGATACAAACCAATGATTTCTATTATCTATTGAAACATAGAATCTCATTCGTTAAACAAAAACGAATTGTCCTTATTAAGGATAATACATATCCACTTAAAAGTATCAATTCTTTTAAACCTATTACTTAATAATACATACGAAAATGCGACACTTTTCTCATAAACTTCTTATTTATGTTTCTGATTAAGTTTGTTACACGTTAAAGGTAATAAACTTTTTATCGTTAAGAAGTAATTTCAATTAGTTTTCATTGTAAACAAAATCACAAGAAACGATATTTTGAAGAGCTTCGAGAATTGGAATAAACGTTGCAGAAGTGTATAATATGTGGTGGGGATAATTTTTTTAGGGGACAAGATAGATATTAATGAATAGATAAATAATTTTTGATTCGCGATACTTTTTGAACAAACGTCGTACATTTATATAATGATAATGCTGAATCTTAATCGTTCGAATAAGTATTAAAATTAAGCAAGAATGCATTGAAAATTTTTGGCTTTTCGGAAAATTCTATTAAAAATACCAAACACAGCCGCAGAAATTCAAGAATAATTTTAATTCGAGTTTTCAACTCTCCCAATTCAATTCCCTTACATTGACGTTATCAGAATTAGTAGAATGAATAACAAATTTAAGCAATTAATCTTGGTTACTTAATTCCAACTTCATCCTTCCCTAATTGCTGGTACCTGTATGAAACTCAAATATTTTGCGTAAAGATTTTATTGATGAAGCCCGAGTGTGACGTAACTATACATATTTGCTTAACAAAATTGTGAAATTCATAAAATGATTATTATTTTTGTATAATGTGGAACTTCATCAAGTAACAGTCGATACATAACACCAGCTCCAATTAAAATATAAAACAAAAAGGAAGTCGGAATGGTTCTTTATATTACCAAATTAGTAGGTATGTTATGGGCTTACCCAAATGTTGCTAGTCCTTCGTTCTGCTAAAGAAAACCCGATGACCTTAACATGTTCCTCCATTTCCCAACCGCAGAACGTCATCTCCGACGTACTTTGGAATACCAGAAATTTTTTCTATAAACTCGTGCTTTAGAATTTCGAAAAACTTCAGCTTCTCCATTCGCACCATCTACCTGTTATCATCTTCATCATCACACAGTAATCACGATCATCAGCATCATGTCGTTAACATTTTCTATCTCCCACTACCCACTGTTCCATTCAGAAGAGGAGGAAACATTTCACCTTTGCGTAACATCTTACACGTTTCTAGGTCCAAATTATTAAGTACACGCTGCGACCGTCTGGTTGGTCAGTTGTTACTCAAGCGTGTTCTATCTAACATGCTCTTTATTAAAACTATTTAAAAAAACACAACAACAAAATTGTTTTTAAGAAAAAGATCGTGAAAACGTGTATTAGTATACGACGCATAAAGACGTATTGGAATATCGTTTAAAAAAGAATCATTCGGGTTGTATTGTATGTACATATATTAACTCATTAAGTCATTAAACTAATATTGAAAGACTCATTAACATCCTGTGCCACATTTTCGGAATCGTATTACGAACATATAGAATTACAAAACAACCAGTCGGTGAGTAAAACAATTTGTTATTAATTTACGTATAGTGGTAAATATTCTTGGATATATGTGTCAGAAATTTTGACGAAATTAGTAACATAAAAAGTTTTGAATGTACTCAACTATATTCTTGTTTTCTTCTGTTCTGTATCTGTACCTATAAAATGCAACATTATTTCATTTTAACTCCGGCTTGTTCTTCCTTGAGCTCCTTCAGTTGTAGAGGATAGATTTGCAGGGATGTCTATGTAAAATAATCATCATTATAAGGTCGTCAGCTCTAAGACTGGTTGGACATGCACCTCCACTCTTTCCTATCCTGAACTAATCTTCGCATTTCCCTGAAACTATAACATTCCACATCCTTAACTATTTGCGAACTCATCCAGGCCTACCTCTACCCCTCCTAACTCCCGTTTCTGCCGCTAATATGTCTGACTAAACCTGAGAAGGTGTATAGTCATCAACAACATATTAAAAGTGGATATTTAATTGATTAGATAACGCTGCAGATACAATATAAGTCTCAGATTTGTGAAAAATAGTTTCATACTTTATTGACAATTCTCTGGTTGTTTTCTCATGGGAAAACTTAATAGTTACATAGAAGACGTCAAACTCTGAAGTAACTGGACAATTTGAAACACTAATAAATATTTATGTTCTTCGAAAATTATTGAATTAAGTTCATAGAAAAATTTGTAATTAATTATGATTTATTGTTTACCTACAAAAGATTCAATTTTCAAACATTTTATTGTATTTTTTTCTGTTATGTAACATCTAACTATTTTTAAAAATTATGACATAAATTCCTCTTCAGATTATAATAATTTATGAATGTATTGTGAATAGAATTAATTAAAAACTTTGAACATCTTTTCGAAGACTATATTACAAAACTAAAAAGTCTTTCCCTTAGTGATTAGGTGATTTACAGCATGTTCTATATTTTTTATTAATGTTTCGCTTTAGATTGAATTACTCAGTTTACAATGTCAATGCCAATTGCCTTTCAATTGAATCGACCTTCGTCAGATATTGACCTAATAGTAAAGACTGTAATCAAGTTCATTGCAAATTAGTAAGGTAAACCTACCTCCTTCATAATACAGATACAAACCAATGATTTCTATTATCTATTGAAACATAGAATCTCATTCGTTAAACAAAAACGAATTGTCCTTATTAAGGATAATACATATCCACTTAAAAGTATCAATTCTTTTAAACCTATTACTTAATAATACATACGAAAATGCGACACTTTTCTCATAAACTTCTTATTTAATAAACAATATGGTTTATATACAGAAAATATTTTCAGCAATTTGGTTATAATATACCTATCTCTAGTAGTTTTTGAGATATCCTACCAGTTAGAGGTTTAAAATAAGTGGTTATGGAGTTACAAAGTTTTACATTTTTTTTCAAAAATTTTAAGATTTGTTATCAAAATATATACTTATCTAACTGTAAAAATATTTTCCACTGTAAAAATTCAATTAATGCATACTTTTCTAAGAGTTTTTCTTGGTTTTGATAAATGTGCAAAACCAATCCTAAGCCAGGTTTACTCATAACCATTTGTACCCCCTTCATTTTATTATTAAACTTTAACACTTTAGATAAACCATAACATAAAAACATCATTGGAGATAAACAAATTACACCTATACCTACTTATATTGCAATAATAACAATAAACTGTTTGTTTGCTTATTAGTCTTACGTCTATCCAGAATTTCTTCGTTTTTATTCAAATAAGGAAAGGTTTTCAATACTTAATTACCTATGTTTACTATTATAAAGAAGCCAATTATTGTAATTACTATTGGTATTGATTGGTTGGTACAATGGACTTGTTTGTGCAAATACTATGAGCAATAGTTTCCTAAAGATTTTAAATAAAAATTCAAAATCATAAGCCACTTTTAAGTGCATAGTGTTGAGGTTTTCGTCCTATACCAGCGTTGAAGTCTACAGGGAAAAGTACGTATTAATATGTCATTGAACACACCAGACATAATAAATGACCGAAAAATTGGGAAATTTGTGAAAGTTATGTTGGTAGAAAATAACATAGTTTGCTATCCTGTATTTTGAAACAGATTATTTCGTTCCAATTGTAATACAATTGACCTTTCCGTTTTAATTGCTTATACTTACATGTATTTCCTGTCTTTTAATAATAATAAGAGTACGTAAAATATTCGACTGTTTAATCGTCACTATTTAATAACTTCTGTTGATAATTACGTACATGTAAAACTCCTAATCACTCATGATTAATTTGATAGTGACATAATTAGCAGGTGATGTATGCATATAGGAAGGAGTACAGTGGCATAATAAAATGATATAATTCTTTTTACGCATTTGTGCCACAAGTCTTTCACCGAAAATACTACACACGAGTTACGTAAGCACTACCAACCATAAAAAGTAGTTTTTTTTAAGAACGGGAATTGCCACACTCGCAAAAACCCATGCTATACGCACACAGAGACAGAGAAGTCGCGACGTCTTTCGCAAAAACCGTTTTTTCATACTTTCACCAATTTTTGCGTGCCTCACAATGGAACGCAAATGTCACGCTTTACCTTGGGCTCGGTTTCTTAGCTTCAATAATATTCTTATTATGTTAATCGTTTAAACACGCGCCAAAACCATTTTTCTTTAAGATTAAAATCTGCGTCCAGAATTAGGTGGCTTTGACCGTTGGCCTTCCATTTAATATCATTTCCGATATTATACAATAACCGAGATTATCATTTATGTCAATACATTTCTATTTCTATGGGCGCATTTAATACTTAATTAGGCAATTATCTGATGTTTCGTCCGATATTTTACTTAAAAAAACCAATTAAATAATCATCATCATATCTAATTTTCGCATTTCCCGAAAACTGGAACGTCATACATCGTTAACCAATTGTGAACAGTATTCTAATTTAGGTCTACCTCTACTCCTTTTAACTCCTGTTTCTGTCTCTAATATGTTTTTGATTAGACTTTCATGCCTGAGAAGGTGTCCTACCAACCTATCTCGCCTATTCCTTATTGA